AGATGAGCAGTAGGCATTGCCTAAGTATTTTGCAGTTCTCCTCCCCAGAGGTTCTGCTTTAACTCTATCAACCAATTAACATGTTTATAATTTGGCAATAGCTCTCTATTTTCATCAGTGGCTTATAAGCCTATTGGCTCATGTTTCCAGGCTTCACATTTCTTATCCCTGGGGTTTTCTCTCCCGACAGCTTTTCATGCCCTGTCCAAGCCTCTGGTGAACTGCAGGCCAATTGTACGTCCGTGTTACCTTTTCCATGGGCCTGCCGTCATTCCAGCTGCATCCAATGCAGCTGTGAGCAAGGTCCACAGACACTGTGTGCCAGTGAGTAGAGTAAGTACAGCTGAGCACAGAGCTTTTAGTGGGAATTTGGCCATATCCTGACAGCTTTGAGAAAGCATAGATTTGTGGAGAGCGCAACCCTAGGTTTGGGCAAAAAGACCTAGCAAATCAACATATTTTTGACAGTACACTAAGGTAAATCTGAATTTGGATTTTATGCAGACATATTTTTTAAATGTCTGAGACATAAAAAGGGAAGTGTGTCTGTTACTTCAGCTTAGACTTTGTTTATGCAAATATGGTTTACTTAATTAAATTCTTGGTTCTACCACTTACTTCAGATAGACATTGGATGCTAAGAACAAAGGCCTGGAAGCAGGATTTGTAACCTTTTGTCAGAACATTCACAAGTTCCAAATTTCCCCTTTAGAGCTGCAAATTTCCTGGAGGCTGCAAAACTCTGCTAGTTTTCAAATGGAGCATTTGCTACTTACGAATATCTAAATATGCATCAATTCTATTATGAATACATTGTAGCTGGCATCTGGCACTTGATGTGCCAGAAGCAATCACACTGTGGTATAAATTTTTTTAAATTCTCCTCATCTTACTGCACAACATGATGCCTGGGAACCACGATGATAAGAAATGTGAGCATATTATTCCACAGAGGAGAAAAAGAATGAATCCAGGATATGGAAAATTTAGTGCTGGCAGGTGACATTTGCCAGACTGTTAGTAAACATTTTCTTCTGGTGACAGTGCACATTTTGCACTGGACTATGTCTTTTGTTCAAGCGTTTACTGACCATGTGTGTCAGAGAGGTTTCTGGCAGAGCCAGTGGTATCTCCCATTGTGAACCCTGTAGGATGTGAAGCGGAGGGAAGCTGCTGTATAACCTTCTGTCCTCACTGTGTGTGCAAAGCCCTGGGCAGGGAGGCAGGCAGCAAGCCATGGAAATTGCATCTCCTCCTATGGTCTCCACCCAGGTGTGGCCAGTTTGAACAACCTCTTCTTGCACTAGGGAAGGGGACATGGGAGTCCTCACTCTGAGCAAACTCCCATTGAAGTCAGAAGGTAATTCAGTTTTCAAATCACATTTTCTACCTTTGAGGTTTCATTGCTTCTGAAGCACCTGAAATAACTGAAAGTTTGGGAACATGACTGTACCTCAATGTCCAGTCTATCACTGCTTTTTATAGATAATTTTATTATCCTAATAATTACTCTAGATCTGCAATGAAATGAACCAGGAACATTTGGTTCACTTCTGAAAGTTCTTTGTTTAAAGGAATCAAATGCATTTTCATTGCCCATAGTTCACATAGTTGCAACACAACTGGAATCAAAACTGATAATCTGATAGGACTCAAAAGCAACATAGCCTTGCAGGATATTTAGAGCTCCAGTTCTGACTTCTCAGCTGTCCCCTGGGAAAATATCAAAGGAAACCATAATATGTCTAATCTCAGTGATTTCTATTGAGTCTAGCAAATTTGTTCTTTCAGTAAAATCCCAGTTCTTGAAGTCATGGTACTGAATTATCACCAGCAAGTGTCTAGCCCTTCAGATTGCATAGAAGAGAATAAAAAGAAAAGGTGAGGGGACTCAAAACCAACGGCAAACATTAAAAGGCTCAAATTATTATGCTGTCGGCTGTCTGGTTTTCAGCCAATTGCACAGCATTTGAGCCTATCTATCTCATAACTTCTACATGTCTTAAATTGCTGGCAGTGTTGGCTCCTCACAGAAATGAACCCTGCCTCTCTAGCAGGTTGAACTAGCTCTTGTTGAGCTCAGTGTAAAATGGTCTTTGACTCTGACACCAACAGGTCTGGAACTGCTATCCAAATGGCTACACAGTTTTTATATCACTTTTATGTAGGGGAAAGCCAAATCTACCAGAGTGACAGTGGCAAAAAGCAATGGCAGGATCCACAAAAGGAGCACTGATTGGCCCACATGCCCCTCCTTCCTGGACAGCTTTGAGATCATTTGGTTCCCAGTGACTTAGAAAAGCCTCTGGATCATCACACCTGGCCAGACAGGATCTGCTGGCCCATTGCGGCAGCAGGGCACTGCCACAGCCCAAAGGTGCTACCACTACCTAGGACCAAACTGCATCTGATCAACCTATGTGTAACCTCTGCATCATCAATGGGTGTGCTGAGCTGGGCAAATTGGCTGTGCTGACAGAGCATCTTAAAATAGCCACATTTTTCTGGAGGCAGAGTTTGTGAAATGTAGTCTGGGGAATTTAATATTTCTGTCAAGCTGTTTCATTTTGTGTCTCCTTGCCACCTGCTTTAATTTCCAAAACATGCAGCTAAGCCACTGCTAAGTTATTAAAGTTACAGCTAGGACAATGGTAAAAAATTTTAGATGCTTATTTCAGTGTATGATTAGTGCCTTCATTCATACACCCGTACGTTGTCACATTTTTCCAGGCATACACTGAGAGGGTATTTAGCAGGTATTTAATCCAAAACAGACAAAGGCAGCAGGTGGGATTTTTGACACACCTAAGGGAGTTAGGCACCTGGCTCTTACTGAAATGATATACAACATTCAAAGTACGAAAGAGGCCTTCTCTTAGAGTTAGTGATAGCACACTTAAAACTTTCCAAGACATGGCTATAGGGAGCATGGAATGACAAGTGTTACGTATGACAAAAAAGGTGGCAACTGAGATACTTCGAACTGGAATATGGAGAGACATGGATGCTCTTAAATAAAGTCATTTTGATGGATACTGCTTTGGAGTATAAGATCACCTCACATTCCCTTGCAATTTCCAACCTGGTGAAAGGACAACCCAAATTTTAAGAATTCCACTAACCTCAGTGCCATACTGATTAGAGTTGCAATGCAGCATTTAATTTCTTTCCTTTGCTCTCAGCTCCCACCCAGACCTAGAAATATCAACTAATAAGTATCTATCTGCAATAAAATTAATCACAAGCGTTTGGTTCACTAATGTCTTAGTTTGGCTTCTGAATGTCTTGATTACAGAATCAAGTGTGGCTTTATTGCACAGATCGTATGATTAGTCTTAGGTACCTCAATCATTTTCATTCTTGGGATCAACCAAAACCAAACTTCCCAAGTTGCAATTTCACCATATTTCAAAGCAGAAGGTACAAGAAAATTATTTCAGAATTTTAATATCATGATCCTACCTGAATGTATTCTATGGGAATACTTCAGTCAGTCTGGTTGTAGTTTGACAAATTTTTAAGCTTAGCAACTTCTTAAAACCAAATCTAATTTTAAGTAGATTTAAGTATTGACTATTTCAGTGTAGGGAGGTGCTTAACCTAGACTTATCCTGCTGAGTCTTGGCCTTTATGAATCAAGTCTGAAGGTTTGATTTGAGATACCAGTGCTAGAGAAGACCTTGAAATGCTGAAGGCTAAATCCTGTTTCTGGCACAAACTTTGCCTTTACAGAAACTGTGTCTATTGAATCTGGTTCTTGATAAGCCTCATAAAATAGGAAAATAACTTCATATAGTGCTTGCATTTGAATAGTACAAACCTTCATTAAAACAATTCCCAGTATCAAAAGCCAAGGACATTTCTGCCAGAAAGGCATCTTTAGTGTATGTGTATTTTTCAACCTGATATTTAGAGAAAAGCAGTATGTTTGCAATACGTATCACTTGCTGAAGGCCAAAGTGAAGTTATGCTTTGGTAGGTAAATGCAAATGGCATCATTTGCAGAACTGACAACAGAGTCATGATAGTTTTCACTGTTTATCAGAAGAAAAGATTTTTCAGATATGTCATTGAACAACCACATACATCTTGCATTAAACCTATTAAACACAAGTTATTTGAACTTGCCTAACCGTTATGTAACATCTCATTGGAGACTGGTAGTCAAGGACACCTAGATCTTCACCATAAGCAGAGAACTACTTATAAACAACCTTAGCACTCAAATTAATAAATTAAAGTTACAGAATATTGTTATATTATCATTAGAAAAATCAAATGCACACACCTTGTACACAGAGAGATCACACCAAATCATTATTAAAGCAAGATACAAATGTTTTGAGTAGCATCATATAAGAATTCAAATTTGACATCAGAAAGATAAAATGTTTTTTATATCAGTGACACTGAATAACACTCCTAAAAAACCATTTTATGCTAAATTTCCGAGTTGGAATACTAATAGCTGAATTCAGACTCCTTCCATAGTTAATCTGCGTAATCCACCTGTAATCCCCATAGTTGTGCTTCTTAGGTAAAATCAGAAATAAGATTCCCAATATTCATTTTCTCAAGAAATTGAGACTGCTGAATTCTATTTTTATCTGGACAATCACAATTGGCATTTTTCTTCTGGTAAAAACACATGGCACAGAAGATAGTTCTATACTGTCAACAGACTGACTTGAAAAATATAAATATATACTGTATTTATATATAATGTGTATATATACACTATCAATATTCACATTAGATAATCTGAACAATTTTATTGAAATTACTTTTTAAGAAAGCCTTCTGCTGTGACTTCATGTCTACATAAAGCATTGAGAATTTTCAAGTGTACCATGTGAAATGGGGCTTCTTAAACCTAAAGAAAACATACTGGTGAAATATATGTGAATATGCATTTTTTTATAATGTACATGTTTTTTCAGATCTGCAATCTCTACCAGTTATAGCTTGCAAATTACAAAAACTAAAATAGTTATCCAGAGTCAGTGTTTCCTCTCAGCAGGCTGCTGCAGGCAGAGTTCACTTCCAGAAGAAACTATTGGCAAATTATTCTCGAGATGGTGATTGATGAGATGACTTATGCTGTCAAAGACACGATCTTTTGTACGAACCTTCAAAAAAAGGATGCAAGAAGATAGATTAAGAGAAAAATACTTTTTCCCTTAACTTCGCACTAAAATTCTCTAAGAATAAAATAACACAATTAATCATGTTTTAGAGACTGATCCTTCTCCCATCGAAATCAGTGGAAATTAGGCATTTCTGGAGTTTTGCTTCTGTTTTGTCTCTTACTCCCTCTATTCTACCAAAACAGGTAATTTGCCTATGGGCCAGTCTACTACTATTACGTTCTGAATAGGTCTGATTGAAAACTTCCTGTACAACGTTTTGTTTCACTATAAGTCAGATTTTTAGATCAAATTGTCTTCTTGGCAGAGCAGAGGTCCTCTTCAGCGAATGTCATGCTGGTGTAAAGCTTTGTATTGGGATGGCTCTACACGGCCTCAAGAAAAAGCCTGTGAGCACTGCTCTGAAGTGTCATCTATTTTCCTTTAACTTTTCTCAGAAAGCAAGAACAACTTTTGTTAAAACTTTCCAAAGTCACCTTATGCTGTGGTGGGCACCTCGTTTGAAATATTTCAGTCTTCATCATTAAGTTCTGGCAAAATTGCTAGAAACTTAGCACAGGATGTCACAGGGTAAAAAAAGAAACAAACAACTTCGATGGCGAATGATGCTATCTGCTTACTCCACATGTAGCTGTATCACTGAAGAAATCCAGCATGCTCTCCTGATTTCTGAAACATACTGCTTTGAAACACCACTTTCTGTAATTATTCAAAGATGTATTTTCAAAATGAAAAGATATCTTTAAAACAGCGGTAACTTTCCTTATCTATATTTAGATTAACACATTTTCAGTCCATTCAACCCTGCGAGATTTTCTCACCCTAAGCAATATGCTCTGTCATCACCAGAGTTCAAGCCCTAGTTCTAAATCCAGCAAAAATCCTGCAGTCCTCCATTTTAAGCATCCCTTGCCTGAACTAGAGATCTTTTTTTTTTTTGTCAGCTGGATAAGAGCAGAAGGAATTGGACAGTTAACTCCGCTCTGAAAACACACTCTTAAGAGCTGTAACGTGTCACTGGGAAATTTGTGTGTGAAATGAATTTTCAGGCAGGCTTTGTGTGAATCGTTTTAGAAATAATCATGCCAAGGCCACGTGGAAGAAATGCAAGCCGCTGGCGCGCTGCTTCAGCTGGCCACGCATTGGCATTTTATTGACAATTCTCTGCTCTGACAAGTAGCAAATAGGGCTGCTCTGGAGCTGTGTCAGAGTCCCACAAATCATACAGACAGCACAGCTAACTTAAATACAGCTGCAGAAAAGCTGTTGTTCTCAAGCAGTGCCTCCTGAGCAAGAAGTTCCAGAGCCATTTGGGCCATGATGGCACATCACAAGTAAGCTGAGGGAGGGAATAGGTGCAGAGAACAAGCAGGTCTCTACACAAGGAGGTCAGCAAATTTGTGCTGCACTTAGAGGCAGTGCAGAAAAGATGGGGGGGGGGGGGGGGGCCCCCCCTCCCTTTGGGGGGGCAAA